TTTTCCCCAGACCTCCTTATGCAACTGCCTTGTGCCTGGATACCTGTTCTAAGCAAAGGTCACTGCCGTTAATTTTAGGTCAGTGACCTTGTTCGGTTTTTGAAATGTCGTGGTGACCAAAAACTCAGGAAATTGTTTTGGTTTTTGAATTTGTGTCAGCAACAAGGATTACATCAGGCAGTATGATTTTTTAAAAGTAATAGGTTAATCTAGGGCACTTGATGCCAGTGACCCAGTCTGACCTTTAAAAGTAATAGGTTAATCTAGGGCACTTGATGCCAGTGACCCAGTCTGACCTTTAAAAGAAATAGGTTAATCTAGGGCACTTGATGCCAGTGACCCAGTCTGACCTTTAAAAGAAATAGGCTAATCTAGGTCACTTGATGCCAGTGACCCAGTCTGATCTTTAAAAGTAATAGGCTAATCTAGGTCACTTGATGCCAGTGACCCAGTCTGATCTTTAAAAGTAATAGGCTAATCTAGGTCACTTGATGCCAGTGACCCAGTCTGACCTTTAAAAGAAATAGGTTAATCTAGGGCACTTGATGCCAGTGACCCAGTCTGACCTTTAAAAGAAATAGGTCAATCTAGGTCACTCGATGCCAGTGACCCAGTCTGATCTTTAAAAGTAATAGGCTAATCTAGGTCACTTGATGTCAGTGACCCACTCTGACCTTTCAAAGTCCATGGAAAATGTTTGTTGCGATCCCTGCTATGAAGAAATTGGAAATGAGTACCAGAAATAATCTCATAAGGCAGGCACTCCAGTAAAAAGCAGGTTGGCTTCCCTTGGTTGACTTCATACCTGGCCCAAGGTTAATATAATTTGTCGTAATAAGACATGCCATGGCCATATTATCCAAAAAACAATCCCAGAGATAACTAATTTCGTCTAACACTCCGGTGTCACATCTGATTGAACGATTCCAAGGAAATTGTCTTCGCTGACTGCCACGGCCTGACTTTGACCTGCCGCAAGTTTGCGATCTTACCAGGAAATTCCATTGGTTATGCTAAAGATCCGCTGGTCGATTAGATACAGCTATGCATAGTTTAGGGCGGCTGCGCTGCGCTTTTCGGAAATTATTCCGAAAAACCTTAAGGGGTCAAAATGGCCCACCAGCCGAGCGCGTGTTTAAGATTAAACATGCCATGACGATGCTGGGAACAAAATTCCGTGATTCTTGACAAACTCTGGCAGATGGGCGGGCATGGTCATCAATACATGCGACCTGAGATGACGCTGTGTTGACGCTGACGCTGAGACGCCGTTTTCAGAAAGGTATTGTTAAGAGTTCAATTCAATGTACAAGGATGGACCACCCACCCGCCAAAAAAGCTCAAAAAAGTAAAACTGGCCAAAATTATTTAAGTTTTTAAATAAACATTAAATAGATATTGCTTACAATCACTCCAGGCGCTACTCGTGTCGCTGCACTTCTTCAACCGAATGAAAAAAGAAAATGATGGCGTGATGTGTATCAGGATCGCGTCAGTGAGGTGTACCACAAGCTTTCGTGAAAGCATCCACAGCTCACAGTTGACGTCGACGTCCGCTACGCTTGGCTGTCATTTGGCTCGATGATGGCAGCTTACTCGGATGGTGGGTAGAGATGGAAACGAATCGTAAGGAAGTCAATAATGAGCAGCACGGGCTCCCCTGAAGAAGTAAACATCCAGTTACATTTAATTTAACATTTAACATCCGTCCGGACTTGAACATCCCATTTTCGATTCAACAGGGCTCTTTGCTAGATAAAGGGGTTGTTCTATGCATCACAAACCCTTCTTTTAGAACGGGAGCCCTGTTGAAGAATGAGGAAGCCCTTTGCTGGACCCTGAGACCTGTCTCTATAAACCAGAGTTTCTATTCTGAATGCGAAGTTGTTCATTTCTATCCTTATGAATACTGATACCTGTAGTAAAATAAATGGAGGGGCACGCACCTTTGGTGTCCTCCCCCCCCCCCCCCCACCACCCGACCCACTGAATACAAAGCTGCCCAGGATACCCCGATTTTGTCCAGAAAGCATCCCGTAAACTCATGCCCCTCCCTCCTCAGAATGCGTGGCACCGCTGCTGCTGTCGACTACCATGCTGCTAAAAATCTCTGCTAACAAGCCTACAGAGGCTTTACCCTATACACTCAAGGGACTTTGCTCTTGCTGGCTTTTTTCTGGCTACTTATGCAAAAAAGTTGCAGTACGTGTAGGGGTGGGACATACCGTCATTTGGGCTGGAGTTTTGCTTAGGCCGAGACCATGGTCATTTAACATCGATCGATTACGACCTATCAGTGATGATTGATAGGGCCAACCTATTGTAGGTTACGAGGCCCAAAAAGTCGGCGAGCAGCACTCATGAAGTGGCGCGCTTGGGAACGCGAAAACGATGCCAGCCAACGCCGTGATAGTCATCTGGGAAAAATGCAGGGATTTCCAAGTAGGTAATACGACCGAGGAGGACGGGTGGGCGGAACAGCACAGGGAGGGATCGGCAGGGGGGGGGGGGGGGGGCGAGACAAGGACAGCAATCTGACCGAACTGAACAGGGCGGAGCACGCGCTGAGATCAGCCGAGTCTGCGTATCAACACTGGCAGTGCTATGGACCTTTACTAGCATACGAACAAAAGCTGCCGCTTTTAGACCCGCAAGCCGGCATCACGCCTACAAAAAGTCCGCAGGACCCTAAGTGAGTACTTCTGCCACATCTGGCGGATCTTTGCAGACGCCGGAACGCCGGTCACCTGTGGCTCATTTCTCCACGTATCCTCTGCCTTCAATGCAGTGCTTCCAGCGGCTTACCAGGTGTTTCATGGCCTCACGGAAACCTTGAATGGGCGCATGCTTGCCAGACTGGCTTGTGACGGATCCCAGTGGGGATCGTAGCGTGCAGCGCCCCCGCGTGGTGCTCCTTCAGCCGAGGGAACTGCCAGAAGTTTCTTGGTGTAAGGTTCGGGGAGCACTTAGGGTGCTGCAGCGACTCCATGTTGTCAACGAGATTTTCATTCATGGCAATAAGATTAAGCACAACATAAGGATTTCACTGCCGAGCAGTGAGGATTCGGCGGGTGAACTGTCGTGGTTCTTGATGTAACATTTCCTTGGTCATTGTTCCCCTATATCGCCAATTAAGAAACGTGGTAAATATATCGCGGTACAATGTCAAGTTTCTCTATGTCGCGATCTCAATATGACAATGAGTCAATGGTTATCACTTAGATGTCACAGTGCGACAGTCACAGAAGCATAAAAAGTTAAATTTTGCGAGGACTGAGGGTGTACAATGGCTAACTTTATATAAACATATATTTTTATCGTATGGGTGTTCTCGCGACCAGCTTTTGCATCACCTTGAATGTTGAAACGACATCGTGTTCAGATGGATGTCCTAGGTTGCACACCCGCCAGCGGCGAACAACTTCCCAACGTGAAATCAATGTCACATCCAGCCTGTTGAACGTTGACTTGCTTTAGAGTTGCAATAAAATATTTGGACATAATCTTGACCAACACGAAATGTCACCTCAATGTTGTGTGCTCTTAGGATAATCACCTGAAGACGCTTGAAGTTACCGCTTTGCATGGACAAGACTCGTGTAACAGATTATGTGTTCCCGTCGGCAAAGGATTTGTACGTCCAGGAAGTTTACTACGACTGCTGACATCATGGATTCTCGTGAAGGTTTGATAAGCCATTGAGCTGCGCGGCGTAGTTTGCCCGGTAAGTATGTGTAGGCGCTTACGCAGATGCAGGTGACCGGATCACGTAACGAATCGGGCGATTTCATAGGTCAGCCTGCCTTCACTGCGGATTCAGTGCCTCAATCCAACCGACGCCCTGCTTACGTCAAAGTGCAAAAAGTGAAAAGTGTGCAGTATTCAACAGTGCAACGCGCGCAGACTGGGCCAGTTTCAAACGTCGACTAACCGACCATTCCCGCGCCGCCACGAGACAAATAGCAAGACTCATCGGAAACGATCGGTAACAATACGTCGTGAGCACTGAAGTTCCGCGCTTATCGTGGCCACCCATGGACGCAAAAAACGATGCGATGCCTTGCCGTTTGCGGATCAATCATGCGTACATGCCACCTGTCCCTGCGTAGTGCGCCGAGACGAAGAACTGCCCCGTCCTCGACGGGGCTACCAGCACTATGTGTCGCACTATGAGCACTATGAGGTCGCATCCCGCACCGTGTTCGGGACAAACGTGTAAGATGCTTCGCTTGAACGGCGGTTCTCATACGCGCGGGCTTACTGGGCTACAACTCCAAATAAATTCAACACAACTTAAGTCCCCTTATCGAAATTATCCAATTGGCTTTGGGAGTTGGAACATTCAACTTGGCAAGCAATGTTCCTTTCACGTCTCATCCGTCGAATCTGACGCACGCTTCCCTAGCCTGCCGCGGATGAAACCTCAGTGATGGGAGTCATGTCACCACAATGCTATAACGACCCCTCGCACACTAAAAAAAGAACGGAGCCACCTGCGCCGGCACCAGAGCAGCCTGCGCTCTCCGCTCCTCCGGCCCGTGAGTCACACCTGCCCCATCCGCGCCTGTGTCAGGCCGCACTTCTGGTGATGTCTGCTGATCTGGCAGAGCTGGCCGGCGCTCGGCGACAGCTGAGCTGGGCCCGCTGTGTTTACACGGGTGACCGGCCGCAGGCGCCGCGCGGATCTGGCGGGTCGTGTGTTTTTGCAGGGCAGAGCGGTCGGACTGGCTCTGCTCGGAACCGTTGATTCTCATCAGCCGGGAGTACCGGCGGGTCTCGGCCTGAGCGTCTCGACCGTACACGGAGTGCCGGAGTGTCAAGGGTTGAGCGCCTCGGACACAACCGGAGTGCCTCGCCAGTCGTGCCCGAAGTGCTTCGTAAGTCGTGCTTCGGACGTACCCGAAGTGCCTCGCCAGTCGTGGCTCTGACGTCCCCTGAGTGCCTCGTAAATCATGCATCGGACGTACCCGAAGTGCCTCGTAAGTCGTGCCTCGGACGTACCCGAAGCGCCTCGTAAGTCGTGCCTCGGACGTACCCGAAGTGCTTCGTAAGTCGTGCCTCGGACGTACCCGGATTGCCTCGCCAGTTGTGGCTCTGACGTACCCGGAATGCCTTGACCGTCGTGGGGCGGACGTACCCGGGGTGCCTTGACCGTCGTGGGGCGGACTACGAGGCGGAGTGCCTCGTAAGTCGTGCATAGGACGTAACCGGAGTGCCTGGCCAGTCGTGCCTCGACCTTCCCCAGGGTCCAGCCGAATAACCCTGCCGCGCTCAGAGTGGCCGACTGTTTTCACGAGATGGAGCGGCCAGTGAAGGAGCAGTATCCGTGGGTGACCTCGGACAGACGCGACTACAGCTGGCGAGGCATCAGGTCAAAGGTAAGGTCACGGTGGTACCCTGCACAAGTTCAGGTCAGGCAGCGGTGCCCTGACTGGTATGGCTAGATTTGTGCTCTCTGTCCTCGGAGTTTTGTTGTGCCGTGGTGCTCTTTTGTGGTCATGTGCTGCGGTTGGATTTAAAGTTTCTTCCTTGTCGTCTAGGTGACTTAGTGGAATGGCATCTAGCTATTCCAATTAATGCTTCGCCCATAGTGGCTCATGCCTTAAAACCTTGTTTCATTGACTAAGCCGGGCACCATGCAAAGAAAACAAATTAATTTTAAACAGTTTCGGAGTCGGATAGTTCAGGAATTTCTGATTGCAGATAGAGCCTCCGTTAATGCTAATCATGATGATTAATTTCGCATTTAAGGCTCGTGATTTGAGGCATGTGCGATTTTTGCCCTGTGCCAATCGAGCAATATGCTTAGAGCCCGCTGTATGCGGCGGTGGCTGCAGCCACCGCGCCGGATCCGAGTAGCGCCAGACCCAGGACCCTGCCGCAGGCCTTCAACCTGGTGAGCCTGCTGCTTTTCCTGTGGCGGGCGTCGGCCTTCTACGTGCTCTACGTGACGCGCCAGCTGCTGGACCAGGCGCTGAACCTGCTGTTCGAGTGGGCGTACCGGCGACCGCGCCCTCCACTGCCGCCACCGCGGCAGTCGCTTCTCCGACTCTCGGTCAGCCAGCTGGCGGACAAGATCCGCGCGCGTCAGCTGACCAGCGAGCTGGTGGTCGGCGCGTTCGTCGAGCGCGCGCGCGAGGTGTCGCCGCTGCTGCGCTGCCTCGCCCAGCCCCGCTTCGCCGAGGCGCTCGCCGAGGCGCGCGCCGCTGACGCCGAAATCGCCCTGCTGCACAATCAGCTGCTGGCCGAGACGCAGGACGCGCATGAGTCCGACCGGCAGCTGCTGGCGCGCCTGCGCGACCGGCGCCCGCTGCTCGGCGTGCCGTTTGTCGCGCAGGAGACGGTGGCGGCGCGCGGCCAGAGCGCCGCCGCCGGTCTGCGGCGCCGCTCGGACCAGCGCTGGGCGCGCGACGCGCCGGCCGTGGCGGCGTTGCGGGCCGCCGGCGCTGTGCTAATGGCCAGCACGGCCGGCGCCGAGGCGGCCGGCTGGTGGGAGTGCAGCAGCGCGCTCCGCGGCGCCGCACGGCTGCCGCACGACCGGCGCCGTTCGCCCGGCGACGGTGGCGCCGCCTTGGTGGCGGCCGCCGGCGCGCCGCTGGCGCTGCTCGCCGATGGTAGCGGCGCGCTCCGTACGTCGGCCGCCTTCTGCGGCCTGTTCGGCCACGCCGCTTCGTCTGAGCTGGTGAGCGCCGCAGGCGTCGGTCTGGAGGCGCTGCTCGATGAAGACGGGCGACATGGGGAGCACAAGCGCGCAGGCCATGGCGAACATGTCGAGTGCGACAAAGGCGAAGACGAAGACAAGCATGCCGAGCTCGTTAAACACCAAGATTGCGGTAAACAGGACAAGCACGAAAGGTGGGAAGAGACGAGTCAGGAAGACGAGCAAGACGGGCACCATACCAGTGAACACCACGGTGAGCAGAGCGGCGTCGGCCAGCAGGTGGGCCCGCTCAGCCAGCACGCCGAGGACCTGCGCCTGGTGGCGCAGATTATGGCGCACGGCCCGGTGGCCGCCGCTCGGCTGCGCGAAACCGTGCCCGTCGCGCAGCTGCGCGTGCTCCGCGCCGACTTGCCTGCGCTGCTGGCGTCGAGCGCCACCCAGCGCGACGTGCGCGGCGCGCTGCTCGCCGCGGCCGCTGCGCTGGAGGCACGCGGTGCCGCAGTGGAGCGCACGGCGTTGCCTGAGCTGGCGCAGGCGGCGGTTCTGCTCTGGGCGGCACGGCCCGGCCAGCGGCTGGCGGACGCGCTGGCTGCCGGCGACGGCGCGCTGGCTGCCGACCTGCTGCGCTGGCCGCTGGGCCGCAGCGAGCTGACGCTGCCGACGCTGGTGCAGGCGCTGCTGGGCGGCGGCGGCGGCGGTCAGCCACTTCGCCGCCGGCTTCGCCGCTGGCTCGTTGATCTGCTGGGCTCTGACGGCGTGCTGCTGCTCCCGGTCCATCCGACGCCGGCGCCGCTGCTCTTCCAGAGCTACGTGCGCCCGCTGAACGCGCTGCCGGCGCAGCTGTGGGGGGCGCTGGGCGCGCCCAGCAGCGTGGTGCCGTGTGGCCAGAGCGGTGCTGGCCTGCCGCTGGCCGTGCAGGCGGTGGCGGCGCCCGGCGCCGACCACCTCTGCCTGGCGGCGGCCGAGGCGCTTCGGGACGAGTGGGGCGCCGCCGAGCCGGTCTGGGCCGCCGTGGAGACCGGCGACAGTCCGCCGGGTGCGCCCGCCTCGTAGTGCTGCAGAGGAGGGAAGCGACCGCTGGTGTGCTGCGCGTCGACACTGGGCCGTGGGATATTTATCTAATACACCTGCCTTGTAGCGCTGCCCAATGAAGAGCAAGAAGGGGGGGGGGGGGGGGGGGGTGCACCGGGCCGCAGGTTTGATTAATGATAAACAGGGGAGCAGCTCATAATTTTTCCACTGAAAATCGACTTGGATGAACTGCCAAGGTACGCAATTTCTTCGCTTGAGGTTAAACAGCATGACATGTTCCTCACCTTCTTATTTTGCGTGTCTACCGGACACTTCTGACTGGCAACATTTGGTCACATACGTATCAGACACGCCAAAATCTGGCAAGTGTGGGCACGTGCCCGGGGGCTATTACGTGTGTACTGCTTGCTGCCTGCTTTGCAGCAAACAATATTGTCAATAATTATTGTCACGCTTGTTCCAAAAATCTGTCAGCCAGTGTTTTCGGGAGGATGAAGCTGCTGACGCGTCAACACCGGGTCAAAGGTCCTGTTTGCTGCACCAGGTCTGGAGCGCCAAAGAGGGGGGCTCACGGCAGAGGCCGAGGCGGAGGCAGAGGCGGAGGCAGGGACAAAGCAGGAGACAGAGGCGGAGGCGAATGCAGAGACAGAGGCAGAAGCGGAGGTGGAGGCGGAGGCAGGGACAGAGACGGAGGCAGGGGTAGAAGCAGAGGCGGAGGCGAAGGCAGGGACAGAGACAGAGGCAGAGGCTGATGTAGAGGCAGAAGCAGAGGCGGAGGCGAAGGCAGGGACAGAGGCGGAAGCGGAGGCGGAGGCAGGGACAGAGGCGGAGGCAGAGGTGGTTGCGGATGCAGAGGTAGAGGCAGATGCAGAGACGGAAGCAGAAGCGGAGGCAGGGACAGAGGCGGAGGCGGAGGCAGGGGCAGAGGCGGAGGCGGAGGCAGAGGCGGAGGCAGAGGCGGAGGGTCGTTGTGTGCCCGCGTCTGGCCATATAGTGTTTTTGTAACCCGTTTGACTCCGGTTGCACCCGCCAGGAAGTAGGTGAATAAAATTGTTGTGACATGCATCCCGGCGACATGATTGCGTTCAATACTGGTAAGGAATGATTGTTGGAAACACCAATCACGCATTTATGAAAAAAGTGAATAATATCATTTAATTTCAGTCCTTTGCTATGTTGAACAATTTTATCGGCCTAGAATATCCTGCATGGCATTTTGATATCATAACAGGCTCAAAAAATGACATTTCATCTGAGACAGGCTCAATAAACTATGATCATCTAAAAAACAATGACGCTTACCAATCTATCTACAGCAATTTGCTGGTCGTGATAGAAGCGTATGACTTTTCTACTCCTCCGACAAGATGTTTTCGATTAAATGCCAACGCTCAAATCTATCCGCGGGATGCACCAACATATGTTGTGTGCGCAAAGAACGCAAATATCCTGCTCACAAGAGCTTCATTAGCACTCCCTGTTTGACAGATAAGGCTCACCTTGCCTGCACGTACTGCTCACATCCCGAAGAGCTTGCGTTTTCCTGTCGGAATGGGATGAGATGCACCGCACACTACACGGATCACTTTTAGGAGATAAGAATGCGTCGTCTCACAGACATCTCCATACCTTTCCATATCAAATAAACTATGGTCGCATTCACATTCGGCACCTCAGGCAAAGAGCGCCGAGCAGGGACGGCACTCACTGGCAAAAGTACCAGTGACTGCCGCTGAGGGGATGTGCCAGGCGGTCGAGAGCGGAGCCGCTGATGTGCCGTTGAGGGGATGTGCCAGGCGGTCCAGAACGAAGGCCGCTGGTGGACCGCTGCGGAGATGTGCCAGGCGGTCGAGAGCGGAGCCGCTGATGTGCCGCTGCGGAGATGTGCCAGGCAGTCGAGAGCGGGGCCGCTGATGTGCCGCTGAGGGGATGTGCCATGCGGTCGAGAGCGGAGCCGCTGATGTGCCGCTGAGAGGATGTGTCAGGCAGTCGAGAGCGAAGGCCGCTGATGTGCCGCAAGCTGTACCAAGCTGACGCTGTCGGCGAGGTCTCGCTGTCTGCTTTCAAGAACAGAGCGCGCGGAGGACACAGAACAAACAGAACGCTAGGAGAGCATAGGGCGTGGGGAAAGCCCGGCGCGGCACAGCGAGCAGGGAGGGCGGGCCGGGCGTAAGGCGAAACGAGGGCTGGTTGAACGCGCGCCGCACGTAAGGCGGAGGACGCGTTGGATCTCAGACCAATAGCTGGTATATGGTGCATCATATTAAGTTGAAGAACGCTTAATGGGGAACAACAAGAATAAGAGCTGAGGATAAGAGGGCAGCCATGCATGTGGCTGATAGGTCATGCTAAGGCAACGGAAGTGGCTGCGGTCCAGAGGATATGTTCGGTGTCTTAGTAATCTGCTGTCTCACACTCCAACCGCCCATGCCGCTTAGTATTACGTGCATCGTGTTCTTGCGGTAGAATTGCGTGACTGTCAGTAGCTGAGATTCCTGCTCTTATCGAAAAGAGCTTCTCATAGCACGTTTTATCAGTTACCATCCGTGATATGACGTAATGTGCTGATGGGCTCAGCTGTGTGAAATTGGCAGCACCTTCCGATTTCTGCACGCCAAAACGCTCTTAAGTTCAATGAACTCCGACTGGACCTCCCTGTTCGACTGCTGAGCGTGCGCCTGAATGGAACAGCTGAACATTCCCAGAACACACATAAACAGGTACGTAGCAAGCGATTCGGCAAAAGCAACGGTCGCAGAGATCCAATCAGAACCTGAAGGTACGCAGTAGCGTGCACCACAAAAGTCCGAGTGACGTCACATTGGTAGGGATGCGTTTGTAAAATACGTCTGACCGGTGTTGAGAAATCGATATTGGGCACCTGTGCCCATGAAATCGAGACTGTCTTTCGTGATAGCTTTTGATTCGATTGTTTGCTTGTCACATGGTTGATGTCACATAATCGTGTCACCTACATGGTTAGCATGGTCATGGTTAGCGCACGGAGCCTTCAGTTTACGCCCTTTCACTAGTTAATAAGAAGGTGGAGAGGCTGAGTGAGCACAACGAAGTAAACCATAATCTGCTGCAAGGCTTATACCAATTGGTCTCCCACCACCCAAGAGAGGTATGTATGTAGGAAATGTCGTTTGTGATTTTATCATAATTTCGTAACGATCAGATGTCAGCTGGAAGCTTCAGAATTACGACATAAACGATTTGGGCACGGATTTCATCAAGGTTATGCTTTAAATGCTGCTCTTGTGTTCCGAATACCCCAAACGTTGTCTGTTGTGTGAATGCGCTTCTGACATGGACCTCAGCAGGGCGCTGTCAAATCCTGAACCCGGTACAACTTTGAAAGGGTCATTGTTTTTGCTTTGAAACGGTCTAGATGTTTGCATCACAAGAATGCGGTACGCAAATGCACTTTAAAGCTGCCGCCAACAGGTACCAGGCATAAATTACATCGGAGCTATATCCTCTGTTGATAATCATTATGAGTTGGTGGAATTGCGGGATGCGGAACTGTACATTTGATGTGTCTTGCGTATTTTGGTGATTCCGAAGGAGGAAGAATAAGCATTCAACTTTTAGTCACAGAAAACCGTTAACAGTAATACTATTTGACTAAGTTGTGGATAATGTGTGACAACCGGAAGTGTTTGGCACGGATTATTATTTTGATTTTGTCTAGGCTTTTATAGAATTCGCTTGCACCAGAATGTTCATGCAAAGATCGGCTTGACTGAGGAAGGCAAAACCTCCGGTATGAGGGGCTACTTGCTTTTGTCCCACCGTTTCGAAATGGTCGTTGAGCGCAACATAAACCCTGGCTCGCAAAGTCCGGCTCGAGTGTTCAGATCGAGAGTCACGTGGCTTCTTTTTTTACCGGGCATGGGCACCTTATAATTCACCGAGCGTTGCTTTAGGCTTGCACGCACCACATGTCCCATTTTGCACAGTGTAACAACCATGTCCTAAGTCCGTGCCTGTTTTGCCCAGGGTTGCAAAGGTCGCCGACGTGGCTTCACCCGCTGCCCCCCCCCCCCCCCTCCGGACTTCACCCCGCAGGTCGGGTCCACCCTCACCAGACACTCGGTTTGTGGTACATCAGTCGTGCGGGTTGGAACAGTGACGTCGTGCAGGACGCATCGGTCATGCACTGCTGGAACGGTGACGTCATACGTGACACATTAGTCACGCGGTACTGGAACGGCGACGCCACGTGTGATGTATCAGTCACGTGGTGCTAGATCGACAACGTCATCCGTAGCAAATCAGTCATGTCTTACTGCTGCTGTCATCTGTGCTGACACCCGCCAGCGTCTAAAGCAGAAAAAGATATCCACCAGCACATGAATACCGAGTTCATTTACGGACAGATCGAATGTGCCGCTAAAAAAGAAAGATAATGAGTCAAGTGTCTTGGCGCTTGACATTTCTGGCTGCCCGCGATGTCTGTTCCGTACATAATCATCAACTTTTATCATAGCAGCAGATAGTCGTGTGTGCCAAGATGTATGTCGACGAGCGTCACCACTCAGCCATCTTCTGTCGTTGATGCTATCTTCCAAAAACGTGTATAGTGGGTAATTGTCGTACCACCGCGTTGTAGTGCGACAACGACCCATTAAGTCAGTAACTATGGCACTGCTCTGTGTCGCGTCGTAGTTACGACACTATTCTGACACTGTTATTTGACACTGTATTTGACACTTTTCTGACACTGTTATTCACACACTGTTCTGACACACTATGCGACACTGTTCTGTGTCGTAGTTACTGACGGTGCCATGCTTGAAGTTTGAGCAAACAAGACTTAACCCAACCAGTTGCCATCATGCTTAGGAGGTGTGGTCAAATAGTGTTATAGTTTGCGTAGTATACGTATATCCCAGCGTTGTATGGTGTACTACATATCTAACAGCTTTGCAAATTGGGGCCTAGCATAGGCACATTAGTTTACATTTTGTGGTGCAATGCACGCAGGTAAACCTAATTCAAGTGCCCTACACAAC